GTGTCTGGACAAAATGTTAAAGGCAATGTGCAAAATTTAAAATAAAGAGTATTTATTAATACGCATAGTAGAATGTGGTGTACATGTTTCTACTCAGTGTGGTGGTACTTTAGTATTTGCCACTTGTGAACTTTGTACTTGGTCATTGTTGATGGAGAGAACATGAAGAGCAAATGAGGTTAGAGATGCAGACTGCTCAAGACAGAATCCTTCCTTTGATGAGACCTAACGACTGAGAAAAGCAGTTTCTAGTCTTGTTCTTAATAAATGCCTTTAAACACTGGCTAGTATCTTCCTTTCCAATTCTCATCTCAAGAATTGCTAGAAGTTCCCAAAGGTAACAGAAACACCTTAAAATCAGAGGCCCATGTTGACATAAAAGAATGAGAAGAAAATTGTTGATCAGTTTGTGAGACTGTGAGGAAAGGGTGTGTGAGAGTGACCACATTGTGGTCTGTGTTACATGCCTACTCAGCCTTATTCGTTTTCCAGCATGAACTCGGTATGGATTTTTACAGTTCACTGCTGTCACAAGCTCTCTGAGGACTGAAGGGGAAGGATTCCCAGCATTAGCATTTTGCTGTCATTTGATAGGTCAGATTTGTGATGGAGGGATAACTGTCAGTAAGATGCTTGTGAGAACCTAAGTTCCACCCAGAGAACACACCACAGGTTGCATAAGAAATGAGACTGGGTAGAGTAATGGGGCCATAAAAAGAAAAGGGCTGAATTCATTATATACTATATGAACCTCTCAATAAAAATCAAATTTGAAAAAGAAAAAACCCAGTGCCCGCCATTAGTCAGATCCGTGAGACTTAATTGGCTTGCCAGCCTACTGGGCTCTTGCTGCAGGCCAAAGAGAGACCCTGTCTCAACCAAGGTGGGGCCAGTAAGGTGATGTAGGTTCTTGCCACCAGGCTTTAAAACACAAATCTGGGGGTTGGAAAGGTGGCACTGACTGCTCTTGCAGTGGACCCTGGTTCAATTCCTAGCCTACCACTCACATGGCAGTTATACATTTAGGCTAAATACCAATGCACACTCTTAAAAAAATCTGATTTCTGGGACCCACATGGAGAGAACTGAGCCCGGGAATGTGTGACATTCCGACCATATGTGACATGCATGTCTGCCGTCAGTAAATGTGTAAATGTACTGGGTGTTTTTGTTTTTGTTTTGAAACTTGCCATGTACGTCAGGCAGGCCTTGGACTCATGGAGATACCTGCCTGCCTGTTTCCCAAGTTCTGGCATTAAAGGTGTACACCGCCACATATGTCATAAAAGAAAGGTGGACAGTTACTGAGAAACCACACCAATTTCCTCTGTGCGCACTTCCATACAAATGCACTTGACATACAATGAACACACTAGGTTGAATAGCATCACAAATGCATAGTTTGGGCTTTGTGCCTGTGTGATACACTTGATGGCCCCCAGACAAAGTAGTAGGATATCATGTCTGGGCAGTGGAGCTGGAGTGAATTGTAGGGGCTTCCTATCAATTAGATTTCAAATGGGTAACAGGCGTAGGTCCAGTTTTCATCACTGACATTTTTTTCTTCTTGTCAATTAGACCTTACTGCTGCTGAGACTCCTTGAACTGGAGGTGACCCTCTTGCCTCAGTCCCATTAGTACAGAGTTCATTTATAGGTGTGAGCCACCACGCTCAGGTAGTTGATAACATTTCTTTGGTCAACCAGAATTGTCTTTAAAACTGAGCAATATATCTTTGAGCAATATATCCAACAACTCTGGAAAGATACTCTAGTTAGCTAGGCACTTTTTTCTTTATCAGACATTTCACTCTGCCAACTGCGCTCTACTCCCGGCTACATGAGATCTGCAAAAGCGATCGTTTTTAATTATTTCGCTTGTGGCCATACGAAGGTTAGCCAAATGGATGTTTGTTGAATGAGAAATATTTGGGGTTTTAAATTTATTTTCAAGACAGGCTTTCTCTGTGTAACCTTGGCTGTCTTGGACTAGCCTTGTAGACCAGGCTGGTTTTGAACTCAAAGGGATCTGCCTGCCTCTGCCTCCCTGGGAGCTGGGATTACAGGCATGCATGTGCCTGGCCCCTGTAACTTTTTTTTTTTTTTTTTTTTAATGTGCATTAGTGTTCTTGACTGCCTGTATGTTTGTGTGAAAATGTTGGATTTCCTGGAACTGAAGCTAGAGTAAGCTACTGTGTGGGTGCTGGGAATTGGATCTGAAAGAGTGGCTGGTTAAGAGAAGTCTTAACCACTGAACCATCTCTAATCCCCAAGTGTTTGGGTTTGTTCTTTCTCTTCCTTCCTTCCTTCCTTCCTTCCTTCCTTCCTTCCTTCCTTCCTTCCTTCCTTCCTTCTTTCCTTCCCTTCCTTCCTTCTTCCTTTTTCCTTCTCTTTCTCTTTTTCTCTCTTCCTCCTCTCTCCTCCCCTTCTCCTCTCCCCTCCTCTTTTCTTTTGAGGTCAGGGTAACCTCAAATTTACAATTATGCCTCAGCCTTCTGGTGCTGCATCTACATGGCTTGTGTGATTGTGTGGTTCGTAGGTGCCCTAGCTTGGAACTATTTGTCCATCTCCAGCAATCCTGGATTCAGATAGCCATGTGGTAAAGCCGTTGCTCAGCGTATGTAAGGCCCGATGTGGAGTTTCCTGCCTGAGAGATGTGTGTAAATATGCCTACCACATGGTGTTGAAATTGTCAGCTCTTGCCCTACATCCTGTAACATTGCACGCATGTAGTACTGGGGTAGATGCTGTCAAGGACAGTTGCAGACTGTGGGGCCATTTAGGAGTAGAAAGCAATATTTGGGTATTTTAATAATTTACTTCTTGGCTAATAAGGCCAAAAGATCGGGTACTGTGTGTAATAGCCCCACCTCAGGTTAACTGGTCTTGAAGGCAGAGACACCTGAACTTTTCTGGACTGAATCCTCGCTATCAGTCACCAGTGGTTTGGGAGGGCACTGGAGTAACCTTTAGGTCCCTCATCCTGCCCTAAGGCCTCCGGAAGGGGGACTGATTGAGCAGAGGCGGCCTTGGGTGCGTGCGTCCTTTTCCTCGCGGCTGGCGGCTCTCCACAACAAAAGGAAGCGCTCACCAAGAAATCAAGAACACAAGCTGTCAGGCCGCGTCCCGCGCCGGTGGGCCCTCGGAAACGCCGCGGTTTCCGCCCGTCGCGGGAGGGACGGGCTCGCGCGGGGGCGTGGCCGGAAGGGGCGGTCCCGCGGCTGCTCAAGGTACAGGGCAGCGGGGCAGCGGCGGTCCTCTGGCGCTATGTGGCCCAGTGCGGAGGTCCCGAGGGCGGAGTCCCGGCCTAAGGCCGGCCCGCATGGGGGTGGGTCTAGGTGCTGCTCCGACTTTTGCAGGATTCCGGCACACGCCCCAACAAAGAGCAGGGAACAGCCGAGCCTCTGTGACTCAGGACGAAGCCCCGCGATTCCAGTGCCTGGCTCGCCGAACGAGGTAGGCAGACGGCTCGGGACCATGACCAGACCCGGCATGGAGCGGTGGCGCGACCGGCTGGCGCTGGTGACGGGAGCCTCGGGGGGCATCGGCGCGGCCGTGGCCCGGGCATTAGTCCAGCAGGGACTGAAGGTGGTAGGTTGTGCCCGCACCGTTGGCAACATCGAGGTAAGGCTCCGCTGGGCTGAGGGGGACGCTCTGGGGGACGTCGTTTCCACGGGGTAAGGCTCCGGGCGGGGGAGGGGGTGGCTGGAACCAGGCTGTGACCCTGCTCTCACCAGCCAGCTACCCTCTTAGGGCCATTTGCAACGGCCTTGAGGGCAGGAGTGGTGGATGTTTAGTAAGGGGAAGACCTTCCTTCTCCCTCAGTCCTGTTTTTATAAAGAGCAATTCGCCTCTGATAGCCTGTGCCAAATCCCTGACCCCTGGCATTCACTTTCCCTTACTCCTGCCATCTTCTGCCCCCATCCTGGCAGGTGAAACGGGAAGCCAGAGGTCAAGGACTATAGACAGCCAGGGAGAAGGAAAGAAAACTGGCTAGCTTTAGTGGCTAGCTTAGTTTCCTCTCCCGACCTCATCCAAACCACAGCGAGTAAAGCTGACCAACCAATGTGCAAGAAGCTAGAGGTCTTGAGTGTTTGACCCACGAGTGAGGGTGGGGTTAGGGTAGGAGATAGCTCTCCTTTCAGTTCATATCTGAGGCTCAGCTCTTGCCGTGAGCCCAGATGGTGATTAGAATCATAGATTCTTCTCTTTTTTTCTGGTTCATTTTCCTAGGTGGGACTGAATAGGTGAAATAGGACACTGGACATGTAAGTCTTGAGAAGACAGAGTGTTATGGACCCAGAACTCCCTAGTTTTTCTCTTACCATGCTTTTGGGGTTTCCCAGAGTTATAAGTAGCATCAGCTCAGAAAAGATGAGGAGATGGCCATTTGGGAGAAGACAAGAGAAATTCCCATTATTTGCCCTGGCAGGAGCACCATCAGATGTGTGGGTTAGTCCTTACCTGCAGGGCTCAAAGTCCTCAGGTAGGAGAGGGGTGAGGAGGCCTTGGGTGGAGGCAAAGGGAGAGGGTGTGCAGGAAGGAGGACCGTCCCCTCCCCAGCCACTGACCAAAGGTGCGCTTTACAGCCTCTCAGATAATCCCAAGGTCACCTGGCTCCACCATGGCTCCACTTTGCCCCTCCCCTTCCCTGGAGAAGCACTGGGGGCCAAACCCCAGCTTTGGAGCCGAGAGGATTAAGGCCAGGGATTGGACAACCGGGTTTTTGTGTTTTGTTTTTGTTTGCTTTGTTTTTAGTTTTGATTCCCTAACTCTGAAGCCACTCTCTTCTTGTCTTCCACTTCTCTACCCTAAGCCAGGAAAGGTAAATCCCAAGGGAATCTCCAAGCAGATCATTCAGGCCTTGGATGGGTCCCCATCTTTAGAACCTCTTTGCTTTGTAGGAACCGTACTGATTTCAGGCCATTTTGGAGAGTAGATGGAGATGGCAGAAGTCAAGCAAGGAGAGGCAATGACAGGGAGGAGAGTATTCTACACTCACACACCAACACAGCTTTTCTTTGGGGATTTTTAGTCTGGAGTGGGGTGAATTCCTGGGTTTCTTGCTCACCAACTGTTTTTATTGATTGGTTAATTCACTGCTAATAAAACTAAGTTTGGGTTCTGGCATTCTACTGGAAGAAATATTATTCCCTGAGGTGGTCATGAACAGTGAAATCAGGTGGAGGGGGGCCTCTGAGGCCCAGAGAGGTACAGCTTTTGAACTCAGAGAAAGTTAAAGCAGAAAAGAGCCTGACACAGCACTAGAGAGGCAGAGGTAGGTGGATCTCTGTGAGTTCAAGGCCACCGTGGTCTACATACCAAGCTCCAGGACAGCTAGGACTACATAGAGAGACCCTGTCTCAGAAAACAAAAGGAGAAAAGAATTTATTTGCTCACCTGATTGTGTCTTTTATTTCTAGCTTCTCTGGGGAGGAGGCAGGGGCTCCATGCCAGGGCAGTTGGCCAAATTGGCCTTCCTCTAGGGCAGTCCCATCCCCCCTGCCCCTCCCCTACACACTTACACAGTCACCTTCACAAGGTTCAAGCACCCAGTCGCTGGCCTCCACAGCCTGCTTTCTTCCAACTTCTGAATGCCAGTTCCCTCTACATTAAGTGGCACTGCTTCCTCCACAGTGTGTGCTGAGGACCTTCACAGGTAGTGTCTCGAGGCAGTGACTGACTAAGGGTAGGTGGGAAAAACTTGGGGTGGAGGGAGGGGGCACTAGGCATTAGAGAGTGTCCTGACACCCTGACCGCTCTTATGGATAAAGAGGAGATTGAGCCGCATCCAAAGCTATGAATAGGACTCACCTTAAGTTCTGTCTGCCTTTCATGAAGAAAGGGTGGCAGTTCAGAACGGAGCCCTTCTGGGAGGGACTGGCTGACACTAAAGAGAAGGTAAAAACTGGGGCTCTGGGATAACCCATTCAGGGCCTCTTGGCATTAGTGGAAGAATGATATGGAGCCAGAAGCATATATAGACCTACTTCTGGGTATTGGGGAAGAAGAAGAGAAATCTTCCTCTATTCTCAGGACCCTTGTCCACTTCTTTCTCCCTAGCACTGAAGACTTCAGTGACTAAGTGAGATTCCTCCTCGGTCTGCTTGATTGTTCCTCTCCTTCACTCAGGGAGTGTCCCTAACCCCTTGAACTTTGATCAAACAGACCAAGCTTTGGGGATGGGCAGATCTCCATGTGGCTAAAAGGTGGCTGCCACTAGAGAGTTTTTGCTTAGCCACCTGGGAGGGAAGGCTGACTCTGGGTGAGGAGGTATGGGAGTGAGCAGCTCACCCCAGTTAGACCCCTGTTGGGTTTCATAGGAGCTGGCTGCTGAATGTAAGAGTGCAGGCTACCCCGGGACTTTGATCCCCTACAGATGTGACCTGTCAAACGAGGAGGACATCCTCTCCATGTTCTCGGCCGTCCGATCTCAGTACAGTGGCGTGGACATCTGCATCAACAATGCCGGCATGGCTCGGCCTGACACCCTGCTCTCAGGCAGCACCAGAGGTTGGAAGGACATGTTCAATGTAAGGGCTCCAGAACTGGGGCCGGAGGTTGGGTGGGAAGAGGAGAGTGGAAACCAGGGCCTTACGAGACAGAGGGCTCCAGTGATGGGGAATTTCCGTTTTCCACTGGGGCATTTTTAATTTTGTTTTATGGAGACAGGGTTTCTCTGTGTAGCTGTGGCTGTCCTGGACTTGCTTTGTAGACTAGGCTGGCCTTGAACTCAAAGGGATCCTCCTGCCTCTGCCTCCCCGAGTGCTGGGATTACAGGTGTGGGCCACCTCGTCCAGCTCCACTCACTACTCCTGATAGTCCTTAAACTCTAGACTGGTTGTGATAGGGGAAAGACTGCCGGAGAGAGAACTATAGTTTATCAGATGTCCCTGCCCAGGCTGGATACCTGGGAACATGGTCTTGGGGGTAGAAAGGGAATAGAGATGAGAAAGGTTAGGCTTGCACTCGGCCCCACTGTAACTGTGTGACTCGGGCGAGATCAGGACAGCCTCTGAGCTACAGTCCTGATGCATTTAGCTGGGATGAGCACACCTAAATCCTCAAGACAAACTCCACTGTCTCTAGGTGTGGTCTACAGAGTGCGGGAAAGCTCATGGCCTCGTAAAGGGATGGTCCCTGCTCAGACCCAGGTTAGTCCCTGCACTGCAGAATGGGCAGATCTTTGATTTCTCTTCGAGAAATGAGGAGTCTTTAGTATGCTTCAGAGCATGCACAGGCCAGGGGCAGGTGAGATGGCTGAGTGGATGAAGGCACGTACCATTAAGACCCAGGACCCAAACGATGGGAGAAGAGAGCCTACTCACACAAGTTTTCCTTTGACCTTCATGTTGGCACTGTGGCATGCATGTAGGTGTGCACACACGCACACACACTCACATACAATAAGTAAATAAATAAATGTAATAAGAGTATGTAGAGGTCAAACACAGCCTCGAGGATGTGTTTCCAACTTCTGGGCCGTGTTGTGGGGTGGCGTTAGGCAGTGGTTCTCAACCTGTGGGTCGAGACCTCTTTGTGTTGGCCATTGAATGACTCAAAGGGGTTAAGTAAGATCATTGGAAAACATTTTGATTCATAACAGTAGCAAACTTAATGAAGTAGCAATGAAAATAATGGTTGGGGATCACCACAACATGAGGAACCGTGTGTATTAAAGGGGCTCAGCATTAGGAAGGTTGAGAGCCACTGCCTTAGGGTGTGAAACTATCTGAGAGGCTAAAAGCAATGTCACAGTCCTCTTTATATATGCTATCAGCAGGTTAGTACTAACAGGTACTTGCAAGTGAAACAGTGAACCATGAGAATGAAACCTTGTCCTCTGGGAGATCAGAATTATAGCCCTTGTGTGTAGAGGCACATATCTAAACCAGAGGAAGTCCCAAGTCCCCAAGGCTCCTTTGTCTTGCCTATCACGCAAGTCCATTAGCCCCATTCTACTAGGCTTCTGTCATTCTCCTAAGGATCTATGTGTCCTTCATATGCCCCACAATCCCACCCTGTTAAGAGGACCAGAAACAAGCTGAGCCCTTTCTGCATCCTAATATCCGAGTGTTGCTGCAACCATAAGCACTGAGGCAGGATTTCGCTGAGGGCATTCTGTCCTGGTGCCTGGGTGACACCTGATAAAGTGAACCGGCTAATCTGCCAGCTGACCCTCTCCTCTGGAGAGGAGGGAGGCTGGAGGACCCAATGAAGGCTTTATCTCTGCTGGCCTCTCTGGCAAGGCTAATGGGTGGAGCAGAATAGCAGACAGGCTCGTCATAGCAGATAGCTCCTTAGAGCCCTACTCTCTGAAGGGTGGGGACGTGAGGTCAGCTGTGCCAGGAGTGGCATGTGATCCCACCCTCCGAAGATTCCCCACACCTGGGCTTGTGGCCAGGGTATAGGTTAAAGGCCGGTGTGCGGTCCTCCTCCAACATGATGGGTGGGGATTAAAAGGGAACAGTATGGCTGAGGAGAGCAGGGGGAGAGGGGCTGGGTTGTGTGTGTGAGGAGAAGGACTTAGGCCATTTCAGGAGGGTTTTCAGTCTGTTTAGGAGGGATTAGGTCTGGACTGTGTCGCTGAGCAGGAAGATTGGTTTCCCCAAGGCGAGGCGGAGGTCCCTAGGAGGACTCAGCCAGTAGACTCTGCTGTGAGGGGCGGGACACCCACAGAGAGGGCAGCTACTCCCCCACCGCCACCCACGGTGCTCACTTGCTCACTGGGCCCAGGCTGGAGACACTCCACTGCTTTCCCTGGCCCACAGGTGAACGTGCTGGCCCTCAGCATCTGCACTCGGGAAGCTTATCAGTCCATGAAGGAGCGGAACGTGGACGATGGGCACATCATTAACATCAACAGGTGAGGCCAGGTGGCTGATGCTCAGATCATGGCTCACCCCCCAGACAGTGCTCTATCTGCTGCAGCTCACTCAACCTCTAGAGGGCAGTTTCTTCGGTAGTAAAATAAGGATCTAATATTCAAGTGGAATGATTCTGACAAAGGGAAGCAACTGCCTCTGGTTGTCTGGGCAGCTCAGCCTCTGCCCTCCATAGCCAATGCCTGGGAACTCTCCTGGGACTGTGCGTCTTCCTCAGGCCCTGGGATCAGCCCACCTTGTGGTACAAAGAAACTGTACAGGCTCTACCATAGGAGAGCCCATTGTCTATTGGGGCATAGTCTGCACCAACCCCAGAGATCTCCCAGTGGACACATAGCAGTGAGCACACTGACAACATGGCGAGGCTTTGGTCACCCTGTCTGACTGCACGAGTGAGTACATAGTCAGCAGAAGGACAGGTTGCAGGAGCTGTGTAAACAACAGAGACTGGACTCATTCAGTAGACTGTAGGGGTAGAGTCGTCCGTCCCTCCTTTCCCCTAACAGGACTTCCCTGTCAGCCTCTAGCCTCTAGGTAATGAGGCTGACTAGGACAATAGGAGCGTTGCCAGTGTCTGTGGAACCTCACCCTCACCTCTCTCCCCTTCCCTTCTTCCACCCAGCATGTGTGGCCACCGAGTCCCACCCCAGTCTGTGATCCATTTCTATAGTGCGACTAAGTATGCCGTCACTGCATTGACAGAGGGACTAAGGCAAGAGCTCCTGGAGGCCCAGAGCCATATCCGGGCCACGGTGAGGCTGTGGTCTAGCCCTGGTGGGAGCGATGTGGGCCCAGCTCTCCCACCTGCACATGCCCAGGAAGGCCTGCTCAGAGTCCCTGGGCTTAACAGTGCACAAGGCCTAGGCACTGCTCTCCTTTTGGGGACAGTCACCTCACTTCACTCACCCCAAAGGAAAAGGTCAGACTTACACTTTGAATGGGACAGGGCTGACTTGAAGGGAACATGGAGTAGTGAGGCTGAGGGAAATGACACACAGTGACTGAATACCAGCACTCTGGGCTCTTCCCTAGAAGACCACTGACTTTGGGTAAATCACTGAACCTCCCTAAGCCTCAGTCTTTACATCTGTGAAGTGGAATGAGGCTTGAAGGAACACCACTTTGTAAAACATTAAGCAAACACATAGGGAGGGCTCTGTGTGTAGCACAGAGTATTGTGAGAGTTGCCAGCCGGAACTCTCAGCGGGCACTTCGGAAGGAGGACACGAGGCAGCTGTCATTGTGAAGCAGGGGCCCTGTGGCTTCTACCCTTTCTTCTCAACCTGAAGGCCTGATAAAGCTCAGGCTGAGCAGGACCTCTCTGTTGGCCCAGTGCATCTCTCCAGGCTTGGTGGAGACACAGTTTGCCTTCAAACTCCATGACAAGGACCCCGAGCAAGCAGCTGCCACCTATGAACATATAAAGGTGGGTCCTCCTTCTGGGCCTGGTAAAGCCACTCGGTCCTTAAGCTCCCTTACCCTCTGCCTAGTTTGTCACTCCTGGAGGGCTGGGGTAGGAATATGGGTGTTAGAGTCCCTTAGAGGCAGGAAGGAACTTGGGTCAGCTCTGCCCGTGTCTTAATACCTGCCCTTCTCCATGCTCTCAGTGTCTCAAACCAGAGGATGTGGCTGAGGCTGTCATCTATGTCCTCAGCACCCCCCCACATGTTCAGGTGAGCCTTGCCTTAGCTGTGTACCCACTGGGAGGAGGCCAACCATGTCCAGATGTGGGCAGCAGGGAGTCCCTGAAGGGGGTGGCTGCCTCAAACCTTCTTCCCTCCACAGGTTGGAGACATCCAGATGAGGCCCACAGAGCAGGTGACCTAGTGTTGCGTGGGAGCTCCTACCTTCCCCACCCTCCATGGCTTGCCTCCTGCCTCTGGATTTTAGGTGTTGATTTCTGGACCCTGGATCTTACTTTCTGTATCCACCCCTCTACAGGATAGAAAATTCATTAGATTATTCCCATTACAAATGTGAAAAAAAAAAAAAAAAAAAAAAAGGGCTGGGGAGAGAAGGCATAGTCGTGAGTGTTTTATCTGCTAACTTGTTCTCCTTCTTGGGGGTAGAGTCCCCCTCTTGGGGCCCCTTGGCCTTTGTTCTCAGCCTCCTCCTTTTGTCTTAGGGAGGGGATGTGGCCAAAGAGGGCATTGTTCTATCCTCCTGTATCCTACCCCCTACCCCTTAGGGTTGGAGTAGCGGAGACAGGACTTCATCTTTTAGCTGTGTGGTTGCCCAGGGCTCCAGGCCCCCTTTCCCCACTCCCCCCCTCTTCAGCCCAATTTTGGCTCTCATCCTGGGGTCATCACCACACCCTGACCATGGCTACAGAATACCAGGGTCTGCCTCCTAGTACATTTTAGTGCAACAATTAAAGAGAAAGATTACAGCTTACCCTGGCTTCAGCAGTGTCTTTCCATTTCAACCCCTTCTTGGTCAGTGTTGTGTCTCAGAATTTCTTCCAGGTAAGTGGGAAGGTGGGTAGATTTGGAATATCACTTCTGGAGTAGGAGCAGGAGAAGGTTGGTTCCAGGCCAGCCAAGGATACATATGTCTCCAAAAAATATAGACAAACAAATAATAAGAGGGCTGGGAAGATGGTTCAGTGGTTAAGAAGACTGGCTGTTCTTCTAGAGGACCCAAGTTTGATTCCCAGGTGACTCCAGGCCCAGGGAATCCTACATCCTCCTCTGGGCTCCTGGGGCACCAGGCACACATGCGGTGCACAGCCATACACAGAGACAGTACACCCCCACACATAAAAGAATTTGAAAAATAAAATGAAGTGGAGCTGGGCATAGTGGTACACACCTTTAATCCCAACACTCGGGGCCAGCCTGGACTATAAAAGTTTCAGGAGGGAGGGGGCTACAGCTGAGATACAAAGTGAATAAACTAATAAAAAATAAAAATAAAAAAATAAAGAATTAAAAAAAAAGTTTCAGGCCATCCATGTGGACTACTTAGTGAGACATTGATTTTAAAGGGGGAGGGGCTTAAAATAAAGCAAAAACACTAGGCTGAAAAAGTAGGGAGGGGTTAGGTCACGCAAAGGAGTCCCAGCACTGCCATGGGCCAAGGGCCATCAGTTGTCAGCAGACACACCATAGGGTTTTTCACTTCAGTTACCTGGAGATGGGAAATATTGGGGCTCTGCTGGCTGGTGCCGAGGGTCTGACAGGATAAGCCTCTGGGAAAATTTCCAAGATCTGATGATGTGCCTGGATGTGGAGAGGAAGGCACCAAGATTAACTTGACTGAACAGGGTGGCCAACCCATCCGCTTAAACTGGTCTTTGCAGAAGAGTAAGGGAATATGGCTGTCCCACCTCAGCGTCCCCAGAGCCTCTGGGCTCGCCAGCGGCGGGGGAGGGAGTGCGAGCCTTTCCTGTAGGGGGTGCTGTGGTGATGTGGTTGCTGCCAAGCCCGCGCGTGCGTCAGCGGGCAGGGGCCGGGCCTCCGGAAGCCGGGAACCCACGTGGGAGTCCGGGCGGCGACCGTGCCGGCTCGGGTGTCAGGGTGTGGGCAATCTTTCCGAGGGGACTCGGGGCAGTTTGTCCTGCGTGAGGTGACGAGGTGTGGGAGGCCAAGGCGTCTTCACCTGTCCATTAGTGGAGTCCCGGGCGCTGCTGGAGCCATGCGATCCCTCTGGACGGCCGGAGGCTTCGGTCGCCTGCTGGCCCGCCGTTCCTCCACGGTGGCGCGGCCTGGCGGGGAGGAGCTGAGCCGCCTGCTACTGGACGACCTGGCGCCGGCTCAGCGGCTGGAACGCCTGTTCGGCCTGTCCCCGTGCCTCCTGGCCCTGCGGGCCGCCCGCCGGCGTGTGGCCCGGCTCCTGCTCCAGGCCGGTAAGGCTGGGCTGCAGGGGGAGCGGGCCGAGCTGCTCCGGGTGGCCGAGGCCCAGGGCATCCCTGTCCTCAGGCCCACGAGGCGGAAACTGGACGCCTTGTGCGGCTACGGGGTGCACCAGGGCGTGTGCATGGAGGTGAGCCCCCTGCGGCCCCGGCCTTGCGATGAGGCTGCACAGGCGAGCCCAGGCGACGACCCTCAGCAGCTGTGGCTCGTCCTCGAGGCGCTCCAGGATCCCCAGAATCTTGGCGCCGTGCTGCGCTCCGCTCACTTCCTCGGAGTGGACAGAGTCATCACCAGCAGGAGAAACAGGCACGGAGGCCCCTTAATTCCGTTTGTGCGCCACTCGGAGGCGGAGCCAAGTCCCTAAGCGCTTAGCGGGGGACCCCGGGGGGGTGTGGGGCGCGGGGATGGAGATATTGGGTTTAACACGGGTCGTGGGGGACCTTTGCAGCTGCCCGCTCACTCCAGCAGTCAGCAAGGCCAGCGCTGGGGCTGTGGAGGTGATGGACGTGTTCGCCGCGCCTGACCTGGCCGGCTTTCTGCAGGTAATGTGGGACGAGAGGGGAAGAAGAGGCGATGTCATCAGTCCACCTCGGCCTCTGGAAGCCACTCACAGCTAGCAGTGGCTGGGGGGAGGGGCGGGGTGGAAGGAGAGAAGGGGACGTGGTGGCATGGACGCCCACGGCCTTCTCAGTCCCACTGGAAGGGATCCTGGGGTCTTTAAAATCACAAATGGAGCATCGCCTGCAGTTAGGGGTTTCCTCACCTCGTTTCCTTTACCGCACGCCTTGGCCCCCTGCGTCAGCAAGGCAGTGTCTGACACCCCGGGGTCTTCAGCAATGCTCTGGTGGACGGGAGACGTGGGTACCTGGAATAGACGCTCAACTTGAAAGCGATTTTGGACAAGGCTTTGCTAGGGCCGAGCTTTAGCGTTTTTCAGCTGTGCTCTCCTGGGTAGGCACTAGGGGGCAGCATTGCCTCACATTTGGCAGCCCTGACCTCCATCTGTCCCCCGTTCCCACACCCCGACCCCTGACCCTGTGGTGAGAAAATAACCTTGAAGAGAGGCTGAGGAAAGCTGCCTAAGAAACTTATATTCAAGCCAATGTCTAATTTCAGATTTTCTAGTAACCACACTGAAAAGTACATAGCTGTAATTCTTAGGAGCTGGAGACAGGAAAAAACTCGTTTCAAGGCCAGCCTTGGCTACATGAGACCCAGTCTCAAAAGACAAAATAAGACAACAACAAAACACCAGAAAAGTACAAAGAAACAGATAATTTTATTCAATATACCCAAAATATTATTTCTTCCCAAAATAATATTAAAACATACATTTTAAATATTATGAATGAAAAAAAAAGTTGAGCCAGTGTCTTATTGTATAGCCCAGGCTAGCCTCAGAGCTACAGAAATCCTTCTCCCTCAGCCTCCTTAATAGGTATGTGCCACCACGTTCGGTTTAAATCCCATTTTAAGGAGTTTATACATAATACATACCAATTTGGACTGGCCATATTTCAGTCCTTAATGGGCTTAACAGAGGTAGCTCAGCAGTTAAAAGCATTGGCTGCTCTCCCAGCAGGACAGCACCTACTTAATGGCTTACTACTATCTGTAAGTCCAGTTTCAGGGGGTCCGATGCCCTCTTTTGGCCTCCCTGGGCATCAGCTACATGTGGCACACACATGCGTGCAGATAAGCCCTCATACGTGTAAAAAAAAAAAAAGTTAAAATCTTTAGGGAATAGTCCGGTGTGCCCGCTGGTTTTCATAGTGAGCAGCACATGTCTAGAAGCATCTTCTGGCTTCACCTCACAGGCAGGCCCCTTCTGAGGAGCCCCAGCCGAGCCTGGCGGGGAAGTGGAATTCACCCTTCTCGAAATGCTCCGCAGAGTACATACACACCCTTAAGCCTCGCTCGTCACTTCTGCTCCGTGCCAGCAGCGGTGCCACGAAGTTGTTCCCTCCTGTCACTGAAAGCTGGAGCTGCCAGTAGCCAGCACTGTGTCACATTCCTTCCCACCTACCAGAGCTTGCTCCAGCGATGCCAGCCCTTCTCCAGGGAGCCGAGAGTGTGTCTTTGTCCTCACGCTGATCGGATCCTTCCCCTCACAGTGCATCAGTCTGTGACAGTCACCGGGGTCCTTCATGTTTTTTCAAGACTCAGTCCACAGCCTCTGGCACAGGTGGCCTTTCCGTTTTTTTTTTCATTCTTCACCTTTTTTTCAGCGATAGGGATCAAACTCAGCTTCCCACACGAGGCAGGCGTGCTGCCCCTGAGTCGTACCCTACCCCGCCCCCCCTCGGCCTTCCTCTTGCCTGTCTGTGCATCCTCAAATCCTGTGACCTGCAAACACTGTCGTGTCTCAGGTGTCAGTCCTTGGGTCTCTTTTTCTAGGTAAACTGGCTTAATGCTTCTTCCTGATCTAGTTTCATGGCTTATTTACGCCCTTGTTTTAGCTTTCTGAGAGAAGGGTTGGCTCTGTAGCCCAGGCTAATCTCAAATTCATGATCTTGTCTCAGCCTCTCACGTTCTGTGTGTGCGCATGCGTATGGGTACACGTGCTGCACCGTGTATGTGGAGGTCAAGAACAACTCTCTCGGGTTGGTTCTTCCCTGCCATGCGGGCTCGGTTTGGTAGCCAGTGCCTTCACTACCGAGCCCTCTTGTGGCTCAAACTCCCTCGTTCGTTCGTTTGTTTGTTTTTGGAGACAGGGTTTCATTGTGTGTCATTGGCTATGCTGGAGCTTGTTCTGTAGACCGGCCAATTCTGGCCTCAAATTCACAGAGATCCACCTGCCTCTGCCTCCTGAGTGCTGGGATTAAAGGTGTGTGCCGTCCACTCAGTTTTTCAGCCCAGAAAATATCTTTGACTTCTTGTTCTCACAGCTTTGTCCCCAAATCCTTTTGCCTTTTTTTTTTTTTTTTAAGATTTATTTATTTATTATACAGTAATGTGCCTACTTGTGTGTGCCTGCATGCCAGAAAGAGGGCAACAGATCTAGATGGTTGAGCCACCATGTGGTTGCTGGGAATTGAACTCAGACCTTTGGGAGAAGAGCCAGTGCTCTTAACCTCTGAGCCATCTCTCCAGCCCCCTTTTGCCTTTTTATTCGCGTTACTGCCACACCACCCCCACTTCTCATTGTTTCTTCTGCTACCCTAGTTCAAGTTCCCATCTACTTGAGCTAGGGCTTGGGCCTCCACAAGGCCGCACAATGATTCTGTTGAGAGCAAAGTCAGATTGTGTTATTTCTTTTTTGTTCATAGCCTTTCGAAGCACTAGGTCTGGTGGCACATACTTGTAATTCCATTACTTGAGAGACTAAGACAGAAAGATCATCTCATGGGTTCAAGGCCAGCTTGGGGTTCATAGTGTTCTTTTTTTTAAATAAGATTTATTTATTTTTGTATATGAATACTCTGTCTGTCTGTATACTAGCACGCCAGAAGAGGGTACTAGGTCCCAGTGTAGATGGTTGTGAGCCACCATGTGGTTTCTAGGATTCGAATGCAGGACCTCTGGGAGAGGAGCCAGTACTCTTAACCACCGAGCCATCTCTCCAGCCCCATAAGCTCAAATCCTAAAAACCAAAACAAAGTCAAACCTTTTAAAGCTTTTGTATCAGTAGGAAAGTCCTATTCCCAGTGGCCTTTAGTGGCCCTTGAGACCTAAACCTTTGTGGTCATTGTTCTGCTTGCTTGACTTTCCCACTAGCCAATTTACCACTCCTCAGGTATGACAGGTAGATGGGGCCTTTGTGTCTCCGTACTTGCAGCTCTCCCTGCCTGGAGCCTTCTCCCTCCACTGTCTACAAGATTCTCACTCAGTTTTCTTCAGATCCACTCTCAGTGTAAAGGGGCGTCAACCGCCACCCTGCCCCACAGCTGGGACTTCAGCCTTTTGTGTTCTTGGCCCCTTCCTCAGTGCCCAGAGCAGATCCTGGCCAGGCAGAGGTCCTAACTGACAGTTGAAGGCGTCTCTCAGTGAATGCGTGTGTGGACAAGGCTGGGCTCCTCGTCAGCCGTGGCTCTGATGAAGATCCGGTGAACCGAGGCACGGTGTTCTCTTCTCTCTTTCAGGCCAAGGCCCAGCAGGGCTGGCTCGTGGTAGGCACGGTGAGCTGCCCAGGTCCTGAGGTCTCCCAGTCCTCCAAGGTCCCTATCACTAGCTGCTTAGAGTTCGTCTGGGACCGGCCTACTCTCCTTGTGCTGGGTAGGTAGGCTCTGCCTATTTTCTAAGCATGTGGATATCTGGCTGGGGCTCCCTAACACCATCCCGTGTCCTGCAGGTAATGAGGGCTCCGGGCTGTCCCGGGAGGTTCTTGCCTCCTGCCAGCTGCTCCTTACCATTCTGCCCAGGCGCCCCCTGCCTCCTGGTCTCGAGTCCTTGAACGTTTCCGTGGCCACAGGTGAGTCTCCCCCTTCCCTCCCGCCCAGTCACAAGGGGGTGGCTTCTCCGGCCTCTCGCTTTCTCACCGACTTGTCCTGAACAAACTGCTCTCCCTGGGCCTCACTTGCTGTGTGCGCAAAACAAGTGTGCCCTGCGTGTGTCATGATCCTCTCCCCCTCCCCCTTAGGGATTCTGCTACACTCCATTTGCAGCCAGAAGAAGGGTTTCCCAGCACAGGAGCGAGGACAACTCCAAGACAACCCTTGACAACCCTTAGCCACAACCTGAAGGACTCAGAGAGGCCCGGTACCCAGGACTGCCACTGTGGGCAGAGAAACAGGCCGGATGCGGGCGAGTCGGAGTCAGCACGAGCCAGACGTCCATCCTCAGGCTTGGATGTGCTGGGCTCTCGGCCTGCGAGAGCCTGTTTACCGGCTATAGTCCGGTGACTTTGCAGTAGAGACCCAAACAAGTCGCATTTCCGGTTGGAAACGGTAGTCTGCTCATTTCCAGGATGGGCTAGGACAAAGAGTGTCTGTCCTGGATCCTGCCAGATGTGGAGGGGTCATCTGGGCATGTGAGGGTGAGGATATACACAGGACTATGACGTCCCTACCCCTCAGGGTGCGGAGGATGAAATAGAATGCGACTTCACATCCAGGGAGTCCCCAACAGCGGAGCCCAGTCTCTCCATTAGGTGGCAGTCTTGCTCTCTGCACCATAGCTTTGCAGCCGCTTGTCTGGGAGACACCTCTCTGCAACCCCTCTGGAGACAGGGAGACTAGCAAGCAGCTCCAGCATGCTGGCCACTCCAGCCCAGCAGAGGGGACCTATCACCCCAAGCCCTTGCCCTTGAGTCTGAGAGGCCGTGACTCGGGGTCACTGTTGTAGGACCACTAGGCTTGGTCCTCTCCTCCAGGCTCCCACAAGTGGAGCAGAAGTGACGTTGCTGAGCAGCGGTCTCATTCTGGGCTGCTTTAAAGAAACAAGCCCAACGCAGCAGCTGCTGTGTGGTGCTGGGAGGGGCAGGCGCATCCTGGGCAGTAAGATATTTCTTTCTTTCTTTCGAGACAGGGTTTCATGTCCTCTGAACCTAGTGTGTCCTAAAACTTGCTCTTTAGCTGAAATTATCTCGAACTTCTGATCCTCCTGCCTCCACCTCCCAAATGCAAGAATTTCAGATATACCTCACTATGCCCAATTTTTAAGTTGCTGGGCAAGGATCCCAGGGCTTTGTGCAAGCTGGGCAAGCACTCTACCAACTGAGCTACATCTGAGCCCTTAGGCTGGAAAAGCCTTGGCTGTAGAAACTGTCCCGAGCATAATGAGATGTACCCACTGGGTGCCAGGGAGTCTGCACCCCATCTCCCGTTATGAAACTGAAACTGTGTCCACACATGGCTGGATCATCTTCAACTGCCCTCATCGAGGGGCCGGGGAATCGCAACCCTGGTTGCCGTGAGACTCAGACAAGTTGCCTCCACACCTTTATATTCCCGGAGGATATAGAGAACAACGGGAACTTGGTACCACACCGGAAGTGTGGCGATGGATGCTGGTACTCGGCTCACTTTCTCCTTTTTCGTTTAGTCCAGGACCCCAGCCGTGGGGTGGTGCTGCCCACACTCAGGCGACTTGTTCCTCAGTCCTCTCTGGAGCACAGCTATGCCCCTAGGTGGGTCTCCCAGGGGATTCCAAACCAGGGTTAGTGTCAATGAGGATGAACCGTCAGGGCCCACGATCACCTCAACCTTTCAAGAAAGACAGCAAACCCTTCAACACCATTCCCCACCAGCATTTCCAACTTGAACTCTGTCCCCAGCTGCTGCGAAAGCTCTAGTGTCCGCTGAGCTTGAGTCTGACAGACCCTGCCTCCCTCAGAGCCTGCTGAAGGGATTTGGTTCTTTCTCTTTTATTGTCTTGTCATTTCTATTAACTCAAATAGAGATCTTGAACATTGCCTGTGCCTTGGAGTGGAAGGGGATGGTTGTTAATGCCCAGAGACACCAGATCAATTAAATAACAGTCTCCAGGGAAGGAGCCAGGTGTCACGCTTGCCTTTCTTTCACAAATTTGTGAGTGAGTGAGTGTGTGTGTGTGTGTGTGTGTGTGCGTGCGCACGCGCGCGCGTTTTGGGTGTGTGTGCCAAAGCACATGTGGAGATCAGAGGACAACCTCTTTTTTTGTGTGTTCAGGGGCTTGAACTCAAGTCACCAGGCCAGAGGACAAGCGTCTTTGCCCACTGAGCCACCTGACCTGCCCAACTTCCTTTCTTTTGGAGGTCCTGGGGATTGAAGCCAGGGCCTTGCTCCTACTAGGCGAACACTACTGCTGAGCTAGATTGTGAACCCTCTTTATTTTATTTTTTTTGAAACAGGGTCCCTGGATTCATCCTCTAGCCCAGACAGGCCTTGAACTTGCAATCCCCCTGCCTCAGGCCCCTGAGTATCTAGGATTACCAGCTTAGTCACCAGACCCGTCATTTCTTTCTTGCTTTTTTTCCTTTCAAAATTGTTTTAATTACGTATATTTTCTATATTGTGCTTGTCTCTGTGTGGGTGTGAATACAGATGCCTACAGAGTCTGGAAGAGGACAGACCAGTTAGAGGTGATTGTAAATTGCTGGGCATGTGCTGGGACTCAGGTGCTCTGCCATTGCAGTATATACTCTGAACCACTGAAGCATCCCTTCAGCCCCTCCTCTTTCTTTTTTAAATGTTTTAATTTTGCCGGGCCTGGTGGCACCTGCCTTTAATCCCAGAACTCCAGAGGCAGAGGCATTCTGATCTCTGAGAGTTTAAGGCCAGCTTGAGTCTCCAAACTGAGTTCCAGGACAGCCAGGGCTATCTAGAGAAACCCTGTTTCAAATGAACAAAGTGTTAGTTGTTTTTTATGTGTATGTTTGTGTGCTTGACTCGTGTGCGCCCCATGAGTCAATATTTTTTTTTTTCTTTTTGGTTTTTCTGAGACAGGGTTTCTTTGTGTAGCCTTGGCTGTCCTGGACTGGCTTTGTAGACCAGGTTGGCCCCAAATTCACAGAGATCCGCCTGCCTCTGCCTCCCTGAGTGCTGAGATTACAGGTGGGGGCCACTGCATCCGGCTTGGTCAATATTTTTTAAAGTTCCCTAGTTGGCGTCACGCCACTGGGCTCAGGAATCACTGGCATGCTAGGCATGGTGGTGCAAGCCTATAATCCCAACACTCAGGAGGCTGAGGTTACAGAGTGTTAGTGAGTTTGAGAGTAGCCTGTTTTGCATAGCCAGTATCAGACTACAGCAATGCCTTTTTTGTTTTGTTTTGATTTTTAAAGGGGGGGGGGTGATTCCCTCTTCCTGGATGGTGCTTAGTGGCTCTCAGAATGATCTAGTGTTTGACATACCATTCATTATAGGCTTATCCTCCATACAGCCTCTAGCAAATTTAAGCTGTCCTGCGCCCCTGGTAACGGAACTCTTCAAACTAAGAAGGTTGGGAAAGAGCCCCAGACCTCAGGTTCTGTGTGCCCAAGCTGACTTCAGGGGATTCCTGTTGTGAGAACTGAAGTCCTTAAGAGATTGTCTAACAGTGTACTGGCTGGTTGTTTTTTGTTTTGTCAACTCGACACAGACTAGAGTCATCTGGGAGGAGGGAACCTCACCTGAGAAAATGCCTCCATCAGATTGACTTGTAGGCGAGTCTGTGGGACCTCTCCTTGATGAATAATTGATGGGGGAGCTCCAAGCCCACCCAGGGATGGTGTCACCCCTGGGCAGGTGGTCCTAGGGTGTAAGAAAGCAAACTGGGCTGGAGAAACAGTTCATCAGCCAAGCACATCGGCTGCCCTTCCAGGTCCAATTCCCAGCCCTGATGTGGCAGCTCACAGCCATCTGTTCTGTAACAGTCTTAGGGGACTTGACACCCTCTTCTGAAGTCAGACACCCAGTGGCGTACAGACACGTGTGTAGGCGAAACACTTGAACATATTAAAAATAAATCTTAAAAAAAAATATCCAGGCCTCCTTCTGTTTTCACGGTCTATAAGATGTGGATGCAGTAGGGTGGATTGCAAGAGCGGACAAGGAAAGGCCGCCACCCACATCTGGAGGACGCTGCTCTTTCCCCAGTGTACCCGAGGATGTGCCTGGCCGCTGCCATGTGCTTCTCTTTCACACTGTCCTCAGTTTCCCCAGAGGTCATAGGGCCCCACTCAACTGTAACCCAGTGCTTTAGGCTGGGATCCTGGGAGTTGTTGAAACAACATTTGCAGAACTCTCTTTCCACCAGCACTCCCCACCCCCACCCCCAATTTCCCTTCGATCCTGGCTAAGATGTTGAAGGTCTCAGGAGGGCTGGGAGCTGACTTGGAATTTTCCCAGTAGTTGAATGGATCCCACCCTCTCTCCACACCCCACTTTCCCCTCACCTGGCCACCCAGACTGGAAACCTTCCCCCAAGCCTGGGCCCTAAGCTAGATCCTGGCTACTTGCTCCTGCAGGGCCAGGCACCAGGGATCCCCACAGTTTGTAAATGTAATCAACCTTGAGGTCTCTCACGTCCACAGGTGCAATTAGCATGCCCATCTGCTAATCCCTGATTAATGATGTTTACAAACAGGGCCTCTGTTCAGAGCACCCCAGCCCCTCCTCTGAGGAGGAGGAGGAGGTCTTCCTGGCATCCCTCTTCCCTCCTGCAGCGCTCCCTACCCTCTCCTTCCCCCAGCAGTGGCAGTGGGCAGAGCTGTACCCTCACTTCCATGATCTCTGGACGCCTGGGAAGGAGAGAACAGACAGGAAGCCTTAATGGTGGGGCTGGAATCCTGCCCACTCTTCATTCTTTCCCTCTCTAGAAGATCAAGGGCACGCGATGGGCACGCTGCCTTTATCTCCCACCCTGCCTTGATGCGTGGCGTCCTTAGTGGGTGCACGTCAGAATGCTTTTTAAATTTAATTTAATTAATTTTATTTAGGCACGGTATGGTGCAGCCTCAAGCTGACTATGTAGTCAAGGCTGGCCTTAAACCCCTGGATTCTTTTACCTCCGGCTCTGAAGTGCTTAGATGACAGGTTTATGTGATGCTGGAGATCAGGCCCAGGGCCTAGCGCCTATTGGGCAAACAGTGTACCATTTGCGCTCTGTCTTCAGCACTGGCCTCGAGCTCACTGTCTCCCTGCCTCAGCCTCCCGGTGTCTGCCATGCACCGCCCTGTGCACAGACTCCAGACAGTCCCAGGTTCCCATGTTGGCTTGGCTTTAGCTAAGTTGCTTCCTTTGTAGCTTACGCAAGCAAGATGGTGCTTATGATATAGGTTTAAACTATATAGGTTAAAGGGGAGGATTCATAATCAGATATATGAAAGAGACTTGGGCACAGTGCACAGGAAATAGTAAGTGCCCAGTAAGTGTGGGCTTTGTCCTGCGATTGAAATGAAACAATGATGATGTAAGGGGACTTCTGAAGTCAGAAGATGCCCAGGGACCCCTCCTTCTCCCCTCACTCTCTCTCTCTGGGGAGAAGGGCAGGTCCCAGCTCATTACTGGTGGGGGGTTGGGGTGGAGGCGTCAGATTGGAATCACTTCTGGGTCTGTTCACAGCTTCCCTGTTTCATTAACACCTTCCCGGGGGTCTTCAGGCTCATCCTGCTGGGGGAAGCACTCCAGAAAGTTCTGAGCAACCCCCCACCCAGGCTGAGTCCAGTGGGCCCCACTTAAAGGCCTATGCTCAGATGTGTACGGAGCGGTCTTCCACCAGGGAAGGCTGGCCATTGGCCAGGACTCTCCTCAGGGTTTTAGAGGCCTGGTGAGGAGACACAGCAGTGGGGTGGCCCATGCTTTACCCTTTCCTGTGAGCCTCTCACCCATAGGTTTATGCCAGTCCACCTCTGACCCCACTCACCCTCCGACCCCCGCCCTCGACTGCACCCTGGTTCTTTCCTTCAGAATCCTCAATGTGAATGTGGCTTGCCTCTTCTGACATGGACAAAGCCTCCGAAAACTGCTTATCATTTGCTTTTTCTGTAAAATGAGGAGACCATCCCTTGCAGGGGGCTTCATGGCTCTATATAAATTGTGAACTCAGTCATCGCTAGCAACAGCTATTATATTGCTCTGGACAAAACTGTTCCGGACATTACCTCTTTGTAGGCCGAACTTTGTTGAGCGGGCTAGAGTGTGTGGAGGGGGGTTAAGCCCAGGGTCCCAGGACCTTCAGTTTCTACCCCAGATGCTTGCTCCAGCTTCTTCCTAGATTGGAAAGGGGGTGGGGCATCACTGAGTTATGACTAGATTGCATCTAAACAAAGCTCCTCTCAACTGCATCTCCAGAAGGACGTTCATGGGCACTGGCCCTCTCCATCAAAGAATTCCATTCAGAGGACACCCTCCCTGGCTGCTGGAGATGGGAAGGGCCAGCCCTGGTTTCTCCTTTGCTGGCTTACTGTTCCTCAGGCTCTCTGCTTTTTACTGAGGCCTGTGGCTGTCAGAAGGGAGATTCCTTGAAAATCGGTTGATTCTGTGGTGTGTTAGCAACTTCAGACACTTTCCACAAACTAAGCAGTTTTCCTTAGAAAGAGGAAATGGAAACAGTAGGTTTGGTCCCTTTTTGCAAGTGGTCCAGGTCCTTCCGTCAGTCCTAACAGGCAGGCAGGGGGTATTGTTGTTGTTGTGTGTAGGCGGATGTGGGCACTATAACATGTATGAGGAGGTCAGAGAAGAATTGGGTGGAGTCATCTCTCGTCCACCTTTACCTGGGTGCCAGGGATTTGAACTCAGGACCGTCAGGCTTTTGCTGCAAGCCCCTCTACCCACAGGGTCTCATGGAGCTCAAGCTAGCCTCAAGCTCACTGTGTAGCTGAGGATGACCTTAGACTTCTGATCCTCCTGTCTCTGCCTTGCTGTGACTCCTGGGGCACACCGCACCTGGCTTACACAATGCTGAGGACTTAGTGTGTTCTTGGCAAGAGAGCGACACCCCCAGCCCCATTGTTTTGTGTCCACAGCACAGAGATGGGACACTCTGGGTGTTTAAATGACTAAATGAGTGAAGGAATCCTGAGGTTGGACACT